GTCATTGTACATGTGCTGCGCCTGATAGTTGCTCATCTCCACCCTGAACTGGCAGAAGCCAAGACACCAACCTCTGCACAAGACCCTGGGGTTAACTTCACTATAAAGACCTCAATGGCTCATAAAAATTAAATCTTTTTTTTCCCCCCCCCCCCCCCCTCGTCCACACCCCACCAATAAACACATCTCCCTGCGCACACAGCTCCACGCTCATAAAATCCCGGGCTAGTTTTATTTTGTTTCATGAGTGTTTTAAACCCACTGAAGCCAAAATGAAATTGTTAAAGCTCCACCGCCGCCTTTAAGCTCCCATTCTGTTCCAGCTGAGGTATGCAGCCTCTGGAGCCCCAGGTTTATCCTTTGGTCTACCGCCAGTCGTGTTTTCTACATCAGCCCTGAGAAATAGAGGGAATGAGGGGGAGTTATGATAAAGATGTAGTATACTGTACTTAAGCTGTAGCTCTGGGTTGAGTCAGTGTTGTGTGAGGCAGATTCCCAGGAGGGCTGTCATCTTGGCTCAGAATGAGAAAGGCAATTTACGCCGAGTCCTGAGGTGCGAGTGAGGCATACATACATCTGCATGGAGAGAACATTGCACCAAAGAAAGGCACTAACAGCTATGGAGAATGAATGATAGCCCAGTGTGGTAAAGGAAAGGCTTCTTTGACAAACTATAAGGCCAGACGGTCTGCACACTCTCACTCACTTTCACACCTTCCCATTGAAAATTTATTCTATTTGCGAGCTCGTGTTGCATTGTTAATGCCATTAGCCGGCCCTGCATTAGCAGGGTGATGTATGGCAGAGCTGAGGAAACCTGACTACATCCCGAGAAAGGTCAAGAAATGCGTGTAATACAGACACCCGTGTTCCACTCCTCCAAGCGCTCCCTCCTTTTAGACAGATCCGAATCGATAGCGAGGCTTTAAATAGGCCTCTGCATTATTTCTGTGTTTCTAAGTATGGCGCGCACATGTGCTGTATTTTTCTGTCCGTGAAAGACACTTTCTACCACTTCAGTAAACCAATCCCCCCCACGGGAGGCAGGAATGCCCCGTCATCACTGTGCAGACAGAGAGGCCGACGTGGAGTCAACGCCCGGCAGAAGTTTTTCAAATATGTCCACATAAGTTGCCCATCAAGGTCCCATCGGACTATTGAAGCAAGTAACCGTGTGTAAATTATGCAACAAATCAATGTGGAGAAACTTGACTATCTGCCATGTCGATGAAAAGAGAATATATGTGTAGACAGCCTGCGTCTGTGATGGTCCACTGAGTTTCTTCTTCCTGCTATCTGACCACATCAATGGTCACATCAATGACTTAATGAAATTCCCCCCGACCCAAACATTCTTCATTTAAAGGAATACACTCCATTATTTAAACATTTAAAAGAAGATGGGACACTAATTCTGCTTCCTTGATGGCAATTTGCTTTTCTGCTTTGTACAGACATTTAGCAAACATCGACAGTTGGTGACAGATGTTCCTATTAATAGGGGACATATGCAGCTGCCTGTAGAAAGACCCTATAGGAGATGGTGCCCCCCCATCCTGGGTCTGACACTACTAATAGTAATGCTGAGAAACAATAGGTGGATACCATCATGTGCAAAAATGAGGTGGCAGCTCTTAAACATCATGATAAAACTTTTTTGGAAGTGATTTTGGGGTTTATTGATCCAGTTTTGGAGATATCCTTCTCTAAGATTCATGCTGTCACCTCGACACAGTGGAGGCAAATGGAAAATGTGGTGCTAAAAGCAATGAAAATGACATTTAAAAAAAAAAAATCTACAGCAACCTGTACAATGTCAGCAGTTTTCATACAGAGTATTTCTTCTGTTCAAAGTAGTTCCAATGAAAACTTCTTGACAGTGCGGTCTGCGGGTTACCTGGAGTAAAAAGGACAGTGTTTCTGGAAAGACACACGCAGCTGTTGAATTATTAAAATGTAATTTTTCAATCCTGTGAGCAGCACAAATGGAATTTTATTCACCTCCAGTGAATTGAGGTAGAGGCAGAAATTCGAGAAGTGGATATCTCTGAAAAGCCTGTACAAATAAAATGAACAGTATCTGCAGTGCTAGCCGAGATGCCAGTGGAGATGAATGAGAAAATAGGTCTTTTTGTTTTTTAAGATAACTGATCTTTTGAGCCATTTCTCAAGTTGATAGCTTTATTAAATTACAGCCATGATTTGAAGAATGAAAGTAATGTATGTACAGTAGATTTATACCTACTTTTGAAAAAGGCTGTAGACTGAAAAAAGTGATAAAATATGTTGTTAAGATGGTGACAGCAATGAAGAGTGAAATCTAGTCACAATACATGGAAACCAGTTGGTAATCTTAATCACTTCCGTAATCACTGTGTCAGCTTTATCCATCGCACTTTAGAGTTAAACCCCTAAGAAACGGAACAATTGTAAAGTAGGACAACCCCTAAACTATTTGGGATAGAGCGTCTCAGTCTTTGGCCTTGAAGGAAGCCTCAGGGGTCTCCACGGGGTTAATCCTGAGAGCGCCAGTACGAAGCTAATGAGGAGCAGCCCGAGGTTCTGCTGGGAATTACAGGCTCAGATCTGAACCAGGCTGCACATTCTCCATCCCCAACAGGCTGCTGAGCTCAGAGGAGTTTTTGGTTTTGGCTGGACAGGCCCTCTTCCTCCTTGGCCTGCTGTACTGTACCCTGAGGGAGGGAATAATCTGCAGCCTACTCTCTGAGCCTTTCTACCATCTGACAGAATCGCTGCAGTGTTAGCCGCTTTTCAAAACACAAGTATAATGTGACAGGACTTGTAGGAGAGATTTGATGGATGAACTGTGTTTTCCAGACAAGTCATGCCTATCAGAGTGGGCACGGTGCTGCTGCGGCATGGGAAATTACACTGAATCATTAATGGAGCACACAAAGAAAGAGGAAATAGGACAATTTATGAAAATGACTCTGCTTTCCAGGCTTTGCTATGATAGAAACCAGACCCATCCAGTAGCACAGAGCCTTCCTGCCTCTCTGGCCTCAGCAAAGGCTACACTCAAAGTGATGACCTCCCTCAAGCCCTGGGACTTTGTTCTACATAGATCCATATGGCCTTAATGTTGGCCGATGTGCAGAGATCACATAGATGGGGACGTGAAGAGAAGAGACCTGGTGTGCCGGGCCAGGCCTGGTGTAGGGTGGGCTGGTGGGTGACAGATATTTGCCCCCCACTCAACTGGGAACATTCCCTTTTATTCTGCACACAGCAACTCAGCCAGAACCCATCTGTCTATCAGAAACAGCTGCCGCATGTGTGCAGTGTATCAGACATCTGGCTGGGGACTTGGTGACTACACCCCAACAAACACGCTCTCAGAGAAGATATGAAAGTGTCTCGTCATGATGGGGTTTCTTTATCTCAACAACCATGGAGTGGATTGAAACCCTACTACGCATATTTATGGAAACCAAAGGATTACCCTTATAATGCCTCGGCTGTACTTTGTACTTAGTGCTGATTACTGAATGTTAGCGAACACAACTAAGAACATTAACTCAAGTACTGTACTTGGGTACAGTTCTGCGGGATGTTCACCTTACTAGGGTATTTTCATTTTCTGCCGCTTTATATAGTTAAGTACTTTTTACTCATTACTACATTTATTTCATACATTAGTTACTTTACAGATTCAGATTATTAATACAAAAAATAATCAACAAACAAATTGATGGTGTATCATTATAAGAGATGACTTATGCCTACCATACACTAGAAGACTTTGAAAAGTTTTTTAAAAGACTTGTCAAAAGTCTCTCACATCTAAAGAGAATGTGAGCTTTTAATCACAGACTATAACACTTTGGATCTTGCAGGGTCACTGTTTGTGAGACTACAACTAGATTTTTTGAGATTATTTCCCATCCTGCTCGCAGTGGAAAACACAACACCAAACTCCTTTTAAGATAAATACTGTATATGTTGACATTCTTGTCAATATGGCGTTAATATAATCTATAAAGATGAACAGTTTGTGTGAACAAATGCTGTTTCAAACTGTTTTCCTAAGATTTCTCACTAAAATAATTGCTGGTTGGTGGATGAGATAGATGCTGAATTAAACACTGACCCTTCCGCAGTACAAGAGAACCAAGACTTGTTCATGTTCTTGTGCCACCTGAGCATCTCCTCCATGACTGTCTACTTGTGCTGGAGAAAGTGCCCCAATTGGTTGTTGTCAGTGTTAAAGTCACTGAACTTCAGTATTTGCATTAGCAAAGACTAAAAACTTAGGATAATATTCAGCATGTTTGATTTTGTGAAAAAGTCAAGAGGATAGGACTGCTCCTTGAAAGTTGGGATTCAAATCGTCACTCTGAGAGCCCTCAGTCAACTAAATATTCTTCAAGTCGAGCAGTCAGTGTTTTGCTAGTCAGTGTGCTGTGCAGTGTACTTCTAGTGACGTTTTAGTTCCCAGATTTTGCTGCAGAGTGAGTGCTCTTGCCTTTCACGCTACTCTTTGGTACAGACAGCGGCCCGGAGGAAAAGAAACTTTCCATCCTAAAGCTCCGTGAGAACATTATCCTCTTTCTCTGCTTGCAGTTAGCTTGTTTACTATAACGTCTCACTGAGCCTGTCAAACTTTAAAACCTTTCACAAGGGATTCATAAGGTACCCAGCAAGTATTTAACATTAGCTCCACCTTTACCAGCTGCAACATTAAGGGATATACTTAAATGACACTTTTACTTTTGGTTCTTAAAGTGTATTTTGATGCTAATACTTTTGAACTTTTATTTAAGTAGAACTTTACTAGAGTATTTCTACACTTTGGATATGCTACGTTTACTTAAGTTAATAAAAAAACAACAAAAAAACATTGTAAACAGCAGCATGTTAGCCTGTTAGCATGCTGATGTTCGATCAAAGCACTACTGCCTCACAGAGCTGCTAGCATGGCTGTAGAATTAATTCTAGGCGTTTCTTTTATCACAAATGCTCCCTTTTCTCCCACACAGATCCTCTCCTCCCAACGTATTACTCTCCCACCTCTGATCCGTCTCCACCCACCTTCACCAATGACTTCCTCCCTGATGGCTCCGTCAGCCCGATGCCAGGAGAGACGACCACATCCAGCGCCGGCTCCCCTCGCTTTCTCGGCCACGGCTTCAACGAAAACCTCATACCCATCTACTGCTCCATCCTGGCCGCCGTGGTGGTGGGCCTCGTGGCCTACATCGTTTTTAAGAGGTCAGCTGGTGGAGAAGAAAGAGACAAAAAGCTGCTTTGTGGTTAAAGACATTAGCACCATTTTGCACCTCAGCCATAAGATAATCTAGGACAAAGAGGGTGATGGAGATAGTGGTGTGGTGAGTGGAGTTGGATAGAGGGACAGACGTTGCCCTGGGCTAAAAAATGGAGGAAGGAAAAGGAAGGTGGCTGGTAAAATATTGAGGCTGCCATCGTCAAAGAGGTTTTGACCCGTTTCCAGAGACTCACTCAAATGTACCTCAATTGAGTGTTCTAAAAAGGCAAAGAGGAGGTCACAACACTTAATGCATTACAGAGGTCACACACACAAACACATTAATGAGGACACGCAACCACAAATGCAAGCAGATAGATACAAGCCCGGCTGAAACACATCTGAAGCAAGTAAACAAGCTCATTAGTGGTATTGATTGTTTGAAAAGTGCCAACCAGGGGAAATCTGAGTGCCAGATTTATCAGCGTCACACATCTGGGTAATAATCCTCATGTTCTTATTGTTATGCAGAAAACACACTTCAAATTATGTGAATTCCTTTAACATCCAATATTTTATGAGTAAACACTTGGAGGTGTTAACTGTAGTGTAGCACTCAATACCTCATGAATATTTTAATCATTGTTTCATGAGTCATTCATCTTCTAAAGGAAAAGCGTCAGTAGGGAATTGTTAAGCTTTTTCATGTTTTTTTTAAACGTCTTATTAGCATCTTATTATAGTTTTATATTTGCAGGCAGATAAGCAGCACATACGCAGCTTACAATGATAACAATTTACAAATGAAACTCAAAAACATTTCTGAGACAATAGGTATTTGATTACAGATAGATGTATAGACGAAAGCAGGTTCCTCATTTTTAGTGGGCGACTGTTGAATATGCCAACTTCCACTTGAATTTTATCAGCTGTAGCCAGCTAGCTAATTAAGCTAATGTTAGTGCCACGAGTGGGCTGAAAACGCTGTCTACACCTAGACTTTATAATGTTAAAAGTTTACTCGTTTTAAAGAATGGTGTAAAAAGGGTCTTCAGATGAGCTCTTAATGGTCACATGATATTGGGTTAATAGACTGCGATAACACTGTATTTCCCAGCTTAAAGTTAGCATCCACACTGGCTGATAATCTATGGAGGAGACATGTAAACAGTGTTGCAAAGTCTTTACAGATAAAAGTAGCTAGCCTGAAAGTTGCTAAAGGTCGGCAGGTGATGTCATATGCTCATTTGCACATTCGTCACATCATTGCACATAATTGGAAGCACTAAAACTAAAAGTGTACCATTGTTTTGCACTTCCAATCCAGAGAGCAAGACGGTTAACGTAACCATAGAAACTCACTACAAGTGAACTCTTAAGGTCAGCTGCATCTCCTGGATGCATCGGTTGCTGACGATGCATCCAGGTCAAGTTCTACCTGTTACATTCATTGTCTTCTTTCAACATACACTACCGTTTTCACAGGAAGTTTATGTCAGTACAACACCGCAAATAGACGTTTTTTTTTCCCTTCAACAACAAACACACGTGGTTAGGTTTAGGCAACAGAAGCAAGTGGTTAGGTTTAGGTTAAAAAAGAACAGGGTTGGCTTTAGAATCTTATGGGACACAAACACCGCTCTTGTGGGTGAAAGTTGGTGTTTGTTGCCCGTCCCCCTTGGACTTTCGCAGCCTTAACTCTCGTCCTTGTCCCACTGTGGTTCCCCCTGATGCCGCCGGGTGCCATTAAACTGTAACAGCAACCGGCCGTGTATCATACCAGAGTAAAAGAATGCCTTTTTCCTTTGGTTTCTGATGCCGCAAGTTGCTGCCCAAATGCATTCCAAGACTCCAAGACTTTGGAGTGAGCCAGGTTCTTTCACTTTTAACGTCAAGAGGAAGGGCTTTTAGGATGAAGACTAACTGGTGTGTTCGGCAAACATGGTGCTATCTCTGATGATGTTGGCTGGTGCTGCTGGAGTCATAATGTAATTTCCCCAAATCTTTCAACGAAGCTGGTCCGGAATATTATCAATTACTAGGCTCATGTTTCCCCAGTTCCTGCAGTTAAAAAAATAAATAAAATAAAACAGATACAAGTGTTACTGTAGCTGGTTAGCTAACATTTGCATCTTATGTAGGAGCGGACAAGAACAGTTTCTGTTCTTGTGTTGCTTGGTTTTGGAAAAGACTTAAAAAAAAGGGGCCTGTAATCTTTCCTTGAAAAAGCTAAAAGTAATAACAAAATTTTAGTTACCACTACACAACCTCTGAATATCTGACAACAGTCATTTAAAACACTGTTATCACTTCTCATTTATTGTTTTACAACTGCTGCGAAATCCAAATGTCTAAACCTCAGATAGGATCACATGACTGAATCATATCAGATGGATCGTTATCTTCCTCTGACATGCCACTTCTCCACAGGTGGAATAGCTGCAAGCAGAACAAGCAGGCAGCTAATAACCGCGCGGCTACGAACAACCAGATGGTGACGCCGGAAGGAGAGAAGCTGCACAGCGACAGCGGCATCTCGGTGGACAGTCAGAGTCTGCAGGAGCAGCAGCAGCAACAGCAGCAGCAGCAGCAGCAGGCCCAGGCTGAAGTCCAGGCTCAGCCCTCACACTCACGCACACAGGAGCAGATAGGTAAGACTAAAACTCACTCTTTGATTTAGTGGTTAACAGAAGTATTTTGACGATGGAGCCAGGGCATTAATTAAGGTTGGGCGACAATCCTATATTATAGTAGTCAATCAGGTTTTAGTGGTTTTGTGATCATTGCAAAACCATTTTGTTTTTCATTTCTTTATATCATTGTTTATACAGCCCAATATATCACAAATTTACTTCAAAGGGCTTTACAGCGTAAGACGTTTCAAGACAACACTGTGCGATACACTTGGCATAATGTGATATACAGTCAGTGTTCACTTTATTAGGTACACCTGTGCAGTGTAATGCAATGACATACAACTGTTCTGCCATAAAAGTCTGCTTTTATGATGCCTATAATGTTCAGTTATTTTAACACTGTCATTAAATTATATGTTTTTGCACTGAGGACATAGTGACAGTGTTTCTAATTTTATAATAAACATATTGAATTCACCCCTTTCCCACAAAAACATAAAAAATTGAACATTATGAGCCTCATAAAGATAGATGTTATAGCATGGGCATCGTATTGGATTGCAACAAATTGTTCAGGTGTACCTAATAAAGAGGCTACTGAGTATATATTGATATAAGGAAAATACTGTAATCAATATTGTGATATAGATTTCAGTCATATTCCTAGCATCAAATACCACATGTGATTCCTGGCTCCAACCCACGACTTTATATTCACCACAGAAACTCGAACTTAACGAAAGACACTCCTCCAAGTCTGAATACATTCCTCCTTCACACCGTGATATTCCAGCTGTCATTATCGATTACGTCAAGATACTCTGCTGAGTGTGGTGGTTTTCTAGCAGTGTGAAAGCCTTTTTTCCTCTGAGCAAAAGAGAGATCAAAACAACATATCACCTAGAAGCGGGACTAAGCTGCCAAGAGCAGATAGGTGAGGCCAAATCTTCCATGCATGATGTATTACACTGCAGGAATGTAGAAATAATGATTGAGGTCCTGTAGTAACACGAATGTGAGGCGTGACATTTGACACATTTAGCTTGACTGCTTTATGTGTTAGTTTGCCTCCTTATCACAAATATTGAGATGTAGCATCAATATGAGGCTAAAAATACTAAAAATAAAATACTGCTGACAGTTTCTATCTTAGTGTACAGCACATATTAGAACTGCAATGTATGAGGAAAGTGCATATGTGTGATCTATATTTGCCCTTACTACTCCTCTATATCTATATTTGCCCCTCTCTGACTCATGAAGTATTTTGGGTGCATGTCTGTGAGACAGCTTTTGCCACATAGTCTTGCAAGCCAGACAAAACCTAAAAGGTTTTGTGAGATTAACTCAGTACATCATGTCTGGCTTGAAGGGATAGAAACAGCATTATGCACTTTACTGATCTATTATAAAGCAATTTACCATGAGCTTAATATACTTCTTTCAGTGCAGTGCATTGAGAGGGAGAAACAGATTGTTTAGTTTTATTGCTTTTTTCCAGTTATCAGTGAAAAGATAATGTGCACAACTTCCCTAATCTCCTGTAATTACTCATATATTTGTATTAAATTGTATTAATAGTAAATGATAAGACAGGCTTTAATGCATGCTGATATGGCAGCAGTTATGTCAGAATTGGAGAGTATGGTTGCCTTCAGATGGTGTGTGCTCACGAGAGGAGTCCATATGAGTTGTGATGTGTTTGCTGACCTTTTCATACCATTAACCTTTGGTGAATGCTCAGTTAATATGATGTAATTCTAGTTGTATAGAGTTGTTCTTTGTAATTTTGCAATATCACTGAGCAAATTGTTGATATTCCCAACGGCCTCATGTTTTCGCTCATCTCCCGACTGGCTTCAATTTACAAACTGGCTCAGCTTGACTGGTTGAAGTTCGCCCATGATAGACAGTGACTGACAGATGTTACATCCAGTCACGTGCCTGCCCTTTCCCCAACTGTTTCCAATGTCGGATTCTCAGGTGGTTCTGTGTACGAAATTATCTGGCGCCTAAGGTTAACAATTTATGAGGGCATGATTGTGCATGTAGAGTTAAATTAAATAATAGTTTTTAACAGTTCCTCGATTACAGTGGAGTCACAACAGGTTTCAGCTACAACTTGTTAGTACTTGTTAGTCGGATAATTGTATTGTTTTGCTCCTTTAATGGGATTTGTTGACAATGAAAAAAAAAGATGGCCACCAGCATCATCCTTTCACCCAGTTACACTTTCTTTAAATCTTTAAGTCGTCAATGCATGTGATCTGGGGATTTCACTCACTGCCCACCACTGGGTACAAACACAAAAGATGACACTAATCGCTACAAAAGGAGGATAACCTTTAAACAGCTTGGAGAATACAGCATGTGCTGCAGGAATGAGATGCGACCTCAGAGCAGCCTACCTTCCTTCAATACTCAAATAGCACTTACATTAAAGAGATGAAACCAGCGCTCTCTCGATCTATACGCTAAAACCTGAGAGTCTCAAGTTCATTCATGATCTTGTTATTCATTCAGTCATTCATGCTTCTCTCCCAGACATTCTCTCTCTCAGGATCTCATATATTTCTGTCCTAGTCTTATTGTGAGTTATGTCAAAGTCCCCAAAATGGTAATACGGGGATAATAATGTGCTAACAAGCCAAACAGCTGATAAATCCTCCCTTAAATAATCCACATCACTGTGTCCTTTCTGGGATACCCATTACATTCTAATGAGGCTTGGGAAAAGCTTATTTTGTTTTTGTGTTTTGTTTGAGTCCCTCTTTCCATCCTCCCACTCAACAAATGCAAAGCCTGCTGCATGTCGAAGAAAAGAAGGAATTTCTTTTGGAGGAACAGTTTGGGATTGGTTCATTGAGAAGATGACTGGCCTGTTAACCCTGTCGCCTCTCTAACTGATTGGCTCATTAGCAGGTGTTACGAGACGGGATCCAGGCCTGGTCTCGCCGCCTTTTCAAATTCTGATCCAGTGCCAGCGTTTAGCACGTGCTAATTGGCATTAGTACCGTCTGTGGGTGCGGAAGCCATTAAAAAAGGCAGCAATTCTCTTGTGCTGGGGGCCGTTGGTTCTTTCACAACCAACTGGCTCTGTTAAAGTACGCGAGAGGGTGAGAATATGCACAATAAATCCATGATAATCGCAGGGGGGTTTCCTGTTGCCAGTGAACCTTATTTCACTGCCGACTAAAATAATGGGAACACCTCCAGTCAAAACAAGTCCAATAAGCCTTTAAAAAGAGAAATAGAGCAATGAAAATGTCCCTTGTTTTGACTGACAACATTCAGAGAGGGTATTCCCTGCATGAGTCACTGGTGAGGGGTGAGAGCTCCGACATGAAGAGCACTCGGCCTCATTTCTGTCTGCTCATCTCCATTAAAAAGAACCGTCTATCTGTGCAGCAACCCCCCCCCCCCCCCACCGCAACCTCTTTTGCTGCCTGCTTCCCCCTCTGACTCCTGCATATTGAATGTGTTTAAAATTTAAACAAGACTCTAAGCCCTCACTCACATCGCCCATCCGTGCATCCCTGTCCTGTGTTTGACCTCACAGTCTACATAGAATGGAGTCAAGGCAAATGTCAGTTACAAAGCCAGATGACGGAGGGTTACTGCAGAAATCTTGAGTTTGGCAAAAATGGGGTACAAATTTGGGCGTTTGAACTTTAAAAGTGACTGAAAGCTGCGGAGAAGCAGGCGTATGCCCCTGAATTTTCAGTAACACAGACTGCTGTTCACCAAAATAAACAGTTAAATCAGTAGTTTTCATCTGAAAGCCACAAGGCAGTAGCTGCGGTTACACAGACAGTATTTCTTCAGTCTGACTGAAATCATTCTGATTAGAGATTCCAACTCAACTGTTTACATGGACGCTGAATAAAGCAATATGATCCTACATGATCCAAAACATTTAATCAAATGCAACTTTTATGACTCGTGCAAAGTGGTTCCCCCTGCTGTCTGATCTGCTGAAAATATAACAGAAGTGGAGGAAGTTTTTTTTTTCACACTTTGAGAAAATTCAATTCATTCAAGGACAGAAGGAGGAGAAGTGGTCCCACCTGTTAAAACAATTTTCTGTGGCTATGTTGTAGCTGCAAATTACAGATGTCCCCTAAACACTCCACATGCAAACTATCCATAGAAGCAACAATTTACTGATGAGTCATAAATCTAAAGTCTCTGATGAAGCTACTACTACCGGTGGTGGTGGGTTACTGTTATGTCTAGCAACACAACAATTCAGCCTGTAGCAACAACAGCCTCTTTTCCACCGCAGGAACTTTTATCATTTACCCAGGATTTTGAAAAACCTTGGCACGTTTCCACCGAAATTACTGGATGAAAAAAAACTTTCCCTCAACCCCAAACTTTCCCTAAAGAAAGTACCTAGTAGAGAGGTAGTACTTTTTGGATCCCCCGGAATTCTTGAGGGGCGGGGCTATGTGCTGAAGAACGCTGATTGGTGGAACACACACTTGCAGCGTTCCGCACTTTAGTGCCAGTGTGGCTGCAAACTTTATTTCATTTCTATGAGCTTCACTTCGTTTGTGTTGTGATTAAGGATGGGTACCGAAACCTGGTACTAAATTAGCCCCGGGGCTAAATCATCAAACACCGTAGTATTGATAAGTGCTAACGGTATCGGTTCTTTTATCGGTACTTTTACACATTTTGGTTTAATTCATTATCATCCTGTCCCAATGTTACATAAGGCAACTTTTTAAAAATCAAAGAATACATTTATAATCAGAGCACTCACATAAGAACATAGCACTAGCTCTTTTTGTATTTATGAACAATTCTCTGTCAAAATCAGCAGAGGGAGGCGTGTAGAAAACAGCAGTTGCAGCCTGTCATGTGTGGCACACGCACCAAGTACATCACCTAAACTTACCCCCAAGTAGGCCAAACATCAAATGTTTACTCCACCCCTTCTAATGAGGTCGAATTGAGCCGGTCACTTTAGACTGATTGGATTATTATCATGATTAATTATGGAATATTACTGTAGGGTCAATGTAAATGCACCTAGAGTTGTAGTCAAGCCCACCTCAACCAAGACCAAGAGCAGAGTGTATCAAGATCAAGTCAAGACCAAAACTAAACCAGTGCGAGTCCCTCAATGCATTACACTCCTACGTTCAATAAAATGTGGAACATGCAAGACAGACTCAATCCTCAAATAGTTCTGAAATATCCACATTTGCATTAAAACAATTCCTCTTCATTCACCTCTTTTATTGTCTTATACTATATATGTGTATGTGTAAGTGTACCATGAGAAATGTCACGATAAAATAATCAAAGGGGGGCATTGGTGGCTTAGTGGTAGAGCAGGCGCCCCATGTACAAGGCTGTTGCCGCAGCGGCCCAGGCTCGACTCCAGCCTGTGGCCCTTTGCTGCATGTCTCTCCCCCTCTCTCTCTCCCCCCTTCACGCTTCACTATCCTATCAATTAAAAGGCAAAAAATGCCCATAAAAATATCTTAAAAAAAATCAAAAAAATCAAAAGGCATTGCAGAGATGAAGTTTGTGTGTGCAAACAAATACCAACAAAACACTAAGGAGCTAAAAATCACTTTACAGCTTTACTCAACAATCCTTTTTTGCACATGCAATTTAGTGATATCCTCAGTATTGGTCTTGACTGGTCCTGAAATACAATCCTAAGTCCTCTTTGTCTGAGACCGAGACAAGAGTGAGTAAACATGCAGACGATTCCAAGACAAGACCTTCAAAAAGTGGTCTTGAGACCAACTGAATTATCTTGAGAGCACTGCTACAAGGAAATTATGATAAAAATAAGCCTTACTTAAAACCCTGAGGGACAAGGATCTTTATCACAGCACTACAATTAACAGTTATCGAGGGGTGGTAGTAGGACGAGAGCCTGAGGGACCTGCGGGAGCTGAACAGCACATTCACAGTGTAACATTATCTAGCAGCAAGTTACAGTGATAATATAGCTGAGTCATGTAGAAAAAAACATTACTAATGCAATTTCAGTAAAAGGATGGATGAGTCATAATTTCTCACATTAAGGAGTTTTAATAAAACTTCTCCATGTGGAAGTATTCCCATCACCGTTGGGTGACAACAACATGAGACACAAGTGATATCAGTTTCCTTTGTTCTTTTAGAGGTGATAGAAATCAAATGTTTTCTCATTATTTTTGGCCGAAATGGAGGTGGCCTGTAGTGCACACGCCCATGGGGCCTCAAGAGCGCCAAAGCCAGAGCTTAGTGACTCAGGCACTAGACATGTTTGCAGTCCCAGGACATCTGAGGAACTGTGGACATTAAACAGTAGTGTGATAACAGATTAAAAAATGATGCCAATGTTTGAAACACCGTTTTTTAGCATTTGTGCTGTATTTATATTTACAGTTACCAAGCTCTGGTGGCTGAGAAGGCTAAAAACAAATTTAATTTTTCTTCATGTTACTGGAGCATTTCTTGTTGTAAAGTCACAAAACTCAGCCCCAGTCCTAATCACGTTAATTCCTATTGACTCTTTACAATCTGTCGAGTCCGATCAAATATTTATTTAGGATCTATTTTTGATCATAACGCTACATCGTACATATTTTAGATAACAGTAAACGTACATCAAACAAGTGAAGCAATTTGTTATATTTGACAGCAGCAGAAAATTTAATAAAATACAATTAAAGGAAAATACATGGAGGCATTTGGGGAGTAGATTTAAGATAATGTTATGCTGCTTGTTCACAGATCTGACGAATGTGACTCAAACCAGCGAGACGAGCACAGAGACAAAAGAAATACATAAATCTCTGTTTAAATAAACAAAACTAATTGGCAGAAAATATTGTGTCCACGTAAGATCCCATCACTCATTGTAGAAGCTAAGCTCTCAGGGCCTTTGAGAGTAACAAGTATCTTACACAATACCCCTGAGACAGATGCAAAATGACAGCAAGTGAAGGGGTTGGTGCTCTAGTGGAGGTGCCCTATATGTGCCTGTGCCCAGTGGCTCATTATCTGTTCATGGAATTTGGGCATTTAAATGGAAAAGTAATAAAATAAGTTGTGCAACGTCCCGCTGGCCCCCAGGGAGCGATAAGCAAACAAACAAAACAAGTAATATATTTTCAAATTAGTAAAAATAGTCACAATGTCTGTTAAGTTTTCCCTGGGAGTTCTTGTGATTACCATGAAGCCATCTCAAATTCAATCCCAATCACCAAAATTTAAAGGCTTTTATCGTGGCACAGGGTCCAATCAGGACGGCCTGAATGTGCTGATTAAAAAAAAAGAAAGAATGAGAAAGAAGTCCGTAACAAGATTTGCTGCAAGTTCACATTTCAGAACAGATTGAAGTGGTTCAGTGAAAGACAGCTTGTACTGATTCTTGGAATGAGGTTGGACAGAGAACATCGGACGGCCATGTGGCTGGTATTATCACGGCTGCCTCCGAAATGAAGTGCAATGAAACAGTTGCATGGAGGTAGAAGTGCAGGTGGAAGCCACTGTTCATATGCCTGAGCATGTGTGTGTTACAGATGGCTGTACGCTGGCCAGGATCAGCGTCTCTCTGCTCTTTGTCACTGCTGATGCCTGTAGACTGTCTGTTTAAACAGGAAGGAAGGGAGAGGAATGCGATGGACTGTGGCCGTCACTGGATAGAATCAATGTGGGGAGAAACGGCGAGCAAAGTGGCTGCGTGTAGCAATCCAAGTGTATCACAGAAAAATGTGTGAAAAAAAAAAAGATTTTCAGGAAGGGAAAAGGAATGAGAACAGAGGGAGGGTATGACGTTGTAAGTCCACACAAAAAAATCCCCCTTTTCTACAGCTTTAAAACAAACCCTCTTGTACTACACTTCCCTGGCACAAGGATGCATTGATAAAGACGAGAAAACACCCACCGGACTCGGGGGTCCTCTCAGAAACGCCTCTGCATTCCTGAGGCGTTTCCATGGCTTCCCTCAATTGACAACAGGTTAAGAGGTTTGTGGGAAAAGAGAGCATTTGTCTCCCATCCTCATCGTGCTAATGACTCCGGTTTAACAGGTTTAGATGAGTGAGTGACACCACAGGGCCCCCTGCAGGGAAAAGTGTGATAATCAGGGGGTGTAGAGTCTTTCCATGCAGGACGAACAGTATTTTGGTGGATAGGCTATAATCTCTGAGAAATGAATGAAAAACATTCAGAAATTAGACATCATCTTATGATGGGATCACACCAGCTGCAACACAGTGATCCGCCACTTACAGCAACTGTGGGCCAGGGGGGTAAAGTGGAGGGGTTATAGCCCTTCCCTACTTCTGCTGCACTTGCTTGGACCACACCCATCTTCAAACTTGGCCTCTTGATCGCAACTACACGTCTGTCAAGTTTTGTCACCACATCTTGTGTGATTCTGCCGACATCCTGTTGACAAAATCTGTCCAAGACACACAATACCAGCCCTCGCAACGTTGTCGTGACTGCTAAATAATCAAGGTGCCCTTAATCACAGGGCTTCCCACTTACTATAGTGGAGCTGCTCAGTGGAAGACACCAGAACATTGTGTTGGTACAAGAATATGCATAATTGTGCGAATAAGAAAAAGCTTCATGTTAAAAAAAAGAAAAAGAAAGAACCATGACTGATTTAAATATCACCACAAATCACCTGTGTCCTCTTCAAGAGCGTGACATATTTCATTTTCCTTTCTCTCCACAGTGGTGAGGGTGGATGGCGGCCCCCAGCCTGACACGCCTCCCCCTAAAGTCTGAGGAAGAGACGGAGGAAGAAGAGGAGGCGTCAAAGCTGAAGACAGGGAAAAGAGAGTGGGGACTTGAACCGTGGACCAAATAGAAAGCAGGGGGGAAGGGGGGGGCCACATGGGAATGTAAAATTGACTCTGATTCATATCTGAAGTGGCCACAGAGCAAAGACTTGACTTGTATGGACCTCCCAGCACCTTTGGGCCACAGTCTGACTCTTCATCCCTGCATATAGAGTCCAACTCTATCAATCAGTGTGCCTGGACCTCTACGGCAATATCAACTACTGTGTGTACTAATGCCACTGCAGATACATAATCATTGTATATGCCGGTGCATTTCGTATTAACTGACTATTCCAGTATCTAATATTGACATAATTCTCACTAACTGCCAACTTAGTTTCCTCAGCCCCTTGTTAAGCTTTAGATTTCCTCTAATTCCACAATCACTCGCCATGAAACATATGTGCCTGAAAGGTAAATAGGCAGAAAGGTTTTCCATTATCTCCTCTTACTCTTCCGTTTGCATCAAAGAAACCTTCTTCCTCAGAGACCGCCCCCCCCCCCCCCCCCCCCCCCCCCCCCCCCCCCCCCCCCCCCCCCCCCCCCCCCCCCCCCCCCCCCCCCCCCCCCCCCCCCCCTTCACATCTTTCTCTGTGGCGTCCCACTCTCAGATAATCCTCTGTCTCTCTCCATAGGATTCACTCTATTAGACCCCCGCCATCATCTGCGATACAGAAAACAGCGGGGGAGCCGTGAGTCACTCCCGAACTTCTTCTGAAGTTCCTTGTTCTTTTATCATTTAACCACAGACACGTTTCATGGCATGTTGTCTTGTAAAATGTTTGCATCATTGTTTGAGATTGGCTGAACCGACTGATGCAAGTGACTCATATTTAGGGAAGAAAGGTCGACTGCTGTGCAGCCTGCTCGGTAATCAACTATTTTTTCCTCGGTGACATGCTTCTTCCTACTCTCCACATACATAGACCCCCTCACAGCACCTCCAGAGATTGTGTTTCAGTAATTTCATGCTCATAATGTAAGACACCCCAGTGTTTGTCTCCTGTTTGTGGTGCATTACTTTCATTTTGTGGCTCCAGTTACATGGTGATTCAGCAGGGTACCCTCACGTCTTCTATGGAGCCAGCATGAGAGAAACATCTCTGGACTGTGGAGCTTTGCTGACTCACTGCGATGATGTCTGAGGGGAAGCGAAGCCCTCGAATGACGTCATCACTTAGTGACCCAGTATGCAGAGCTGCTCGTTAAAAAGATGCTTAAATGAATTTGTTACTGAAAAAATGTGCAGAAAGGAATCCCATCTGTCATTCTTTACACCTACTGAGTGGAAAATTGGGACACCCCTCAGAGGCTTTCACCATCCTCAGCTTGCTGACACCACCACCCTCCACAAACTCACTCTTACAGTCTTGCGTACAGCTCTGTCTGCGTGATAGAGTCTGATAAATGGTAAATGGACCTGCATTTGTATAGCGCCTTTCTAGTCATCTAGTGACCACTCAAAGCCCTTTTTACACTATGAGTCACATTCACCCATTCACACACACATTCACACACTGGTGGCCAGGGCTACCATACAAGGTGCCACCTGCTACTCAGTTTTAACACACTCACACACCGATGGAACAGCCATCGAGAGCAATTTGGGGTTCAGTATCTTGCTCAAGGATACTTCGACATGCAGCCTGGAGGAGCCCGGGATCGAACCGCTGATCTTTCGATTGGTGGATGACCCGCTCTATCTCTGAGCCACAGCTGCCCCTGAAACAGTGCCGAGGCGCTAATGCATCGGCAGCGGCACTCACGTCAACACAGGGCCCATTAGAGAGACGTCCTCACAGGCAGGTAGTAATTACCTCAGGGTTTCAGCTTCATTTACCCTCGGCTCGCCTCGGCTCAGCCACTTCTCATTGGGATTAACGCTGCGGACAACAGAGGGGCGACACTCTTTGAAGCCTCAGCATGACATTACATTAAGTCCAAGGCCACTGACATTTACTATATCGCCATGGTGATATAAAAGCACTTAGCTGCAAGGCAGGGTGGCACCTTTTATCACACAGGACCACTTTTATGCTGCCTCCCTCCTGCCGCTCGCAGTAACTGTAAAAGCAGTCAACATAGATATCTTGTAAAAGAAGTATACTGTAGCGGAGTTTGACTGCACCGCTTTAGCGTTCATTCCTACAGGGGCACATACTTTCTCAGGGTCCCTCTTGTTGTGGTGTGACTAAAGATTATCAAGAGATTCATAGAGGATTTCTGTTAACCACCTGTAGATGTATGATAGAGTAGGTAGGCAGGCAGGTACAGATTATAAGCGGCTGTTTTATTGAGAAAAAGAAAATGTAGACTGATATGTGTTAGCTGGATCCAACGTGACTAAGACTCTGATGAATTTAAAGAAACAGTTCGCCATTTTGGAAAATATGCTCAGTCACATTCTTGCTAAGACGTAGATGAGAAGATTGATACCACTCTCAAGCCTGTACAGTAAATATATAGCTCCTGCCAGATGCTGGTTAGCTTAGCTTAGCATAAAGACTGGAAACAGGGGGGGAAGCTAGCCTGGTTACAACTCATTTATATAATACAAAAACCATTGAGTTATATACTGCGTAGGGATGTCGGTTTTAGTTAATTTTGCTTTCGATAGCCCAACATCCATCAACCAGGGACCAATGAGTTTATTTTCATGGAAAAAGCGCAGAATTACATGAAATACAAGAGACCTTTCCTTTTAGCCCAGCGCTGCATTAACTCAGTTAACTTTAGCTCTGCATTTCAAAGTGCTATCCATTTAGAGGTGGTGAAATTTTAATGTTTTGTGATGTAAATATCTTGCTTTTTATTTTAATTTCTGTTGATTTGCTGTCAGACAGCAAGCTAGCTGCATTAGCATGCTTTAATATAGTGCCAGCTGCCCCTACGTTCAAATTGTTAGCTAAGGTTAGCCTTGTCCGCTCTGCACGGTCCACCGACTAGGCTGGGTGGGAGCTAGCTAGTGGCACTGCTCATTTGGCAATTGCCACTAGTAACGCCATCCTAGTGATAGGATGTTGCTGCGGAAACATGGTCACCACACACAAGGATGGCTACCATATTTCCAAAGCAACGCTGTTGGGTTGGGATGGTGTTAGAAGTGGCAATCGCCAAAGGAGTGGTGTCACTAGCTAAAGTTAGCGCCCATCAGACCCCTTCGGTGCGCAGCGCAGTAAACTAAAGAGTAGTAAAATTAACCTATAGACCAACAGGCAAAACTGATCAAAAACATTCTTGGCAGTTAATGGATTCAGAGTTAACCGTTGACATCCCTAATGCCGACTACAACCCCTGGATGAATGGTATCAATCTTCTCATGCAACTCTTGCAAACACACAAAGACAGGAAGTAAGTGTACAAACTATTATTTCAAAGGAGAAATAAGATGTGTTAGTTTTTCAGCAGAGCTTGTAGAATCTAGTGAGCAACAGATGGATAAAAAAATGTCAGGCAGACAGGAAAACTGAGTCATTACATCCGATGTCATGCTGCAGGGATCGGTCACACGGTCACCAACATCTCAAGACAATTAAACTTTGTGGTCTCTTCACTTGTGATTCATCTTGTATCACTGCAGCGTTATGAATGGAAAAACATAAAACACTGCTGTTCTCTGCTCACAGCTCCTCAGTCAATGTGTGCATGCATGGTGGACATGTGACCACTCACACACACACACACACACACACACACACACACACAAACAGAGAGCTGGTGTGATTCATCCTGATCCTTGCTGTGGCATTGACATTAAAGCAGATGCTGCTACAGTATGAGTGACCGGAGTGTTGATTTAAAGAAAAGAAACTCCTCGACTCTGTCTCCCCCAGAGGCCCAATCGACCCTCAAACAGCGCACTCATCTACCCTGAAGCGACTCATTCTCCTTCTCCTGCAGCTTGTGAAGTAGTCAGACACACAGTGTAAGAATGTACAACCCTGTTAAAAACGGAAAAATATGCAAGACACATTCAAGGATAAGGTTTCAGTTTGCCCTCATTCTGTTGTTGTGAAACTGTCTTTATGTTTTCCTGTTGGTTTATATTATGAATAGTATTACACCCTTTGGAGTCAGTATTTTTTCTAACAGATATGTTATTTTGTAGCACTTATTAGATGTAAAATGAATGCACTCAAAGAGTGTACCACAGTTCAAGTGCCTGTGTACAGTGTCAGGTGTCTTTCAGTTCAGAAGTTTGACGATATATTTTTCTTTTGCAGTTTTTCCTCTTATTTTATGGTTTTATGTGAATTTCTTTGATATTTTGAGAGCTAATGAAGGTTTTTAGAAAACAAAAGTCAGATGAACTTTGGAGACTCAAGCAAACTGTATAAACCTGGCACTTATATAGAGAGACAAATAGGTTGCCAATGAAGACATACTGTATGTAAACATGCTATAAATACTGGCGACTAATAGGGTCATGTAGCATTACAAAACATATACATGCCACCTGAGACTTCTACTCTAAAACTCACATATGCTATTAGTCAATAGGAATCAGCTCTACTGTGCAGAGGTTTTTGCATGTACAGCAAGTAACATGAAATCAATGGGGAGGTTCACTGTGATTCTCTGTGATATTGTTACAAAGTTGATACAGACAGATCAGGACCTGCTCCCAAACAAGTGGAATGTCACCTGTACTTACCTACTAATGTAAAATGCATTGTGTAAATGTGAATTTCTTAGAGTTGATACAAGATACAAAAATACACTATAAAATGTAAAAAAAAACAAAAGTGTGCAAATGAAATGAGCATCTATAATACAATAAACAGAGATGTCATTGCATTACGTGTCCAGTTTGTCTTTGTAGATAAACTATAACTCTAGCCCCTTTTACACTGCCTGATCAAGGCAGGTATATCACGCCTTTAGCCACGTTAAGGTAGCAACAGCGATGTCTGTATAACGGGGCTTATGTTTACATGCACAAAGAAATCTGATTTTAAATGTGTTAAAGGAATAGTTCAATATTTTGGGAAATATACCTATTCGCTTTTAGGCTGAGAGTTACATGAGAAGATCAATACTCTATCTTTTGAGTAAATATTAAGCAGCCGGTTAGCTTAGCTTAGCATAAAGATAGAAAATAGGGGGAAACAGCAAGCCTGGCCTACCAGCACCTCTAAAGCTAGAGTTGAAACTTGCAACAACTTGCAATGTACCAGTATGCAATGTTTTGAAAACATGCCAGTTTACACCAATGTGATGTGACTAGACGGTGCACTGTTTCCATAGCAACAACACTCTAACTTAAGGCTTTTCAGGGACAAGCAAAGATAGTGAATAACAAATGATACTGCATTTACTGCGCCAATGGTACTCAATGGTATACACTTCTGGTCTTCTACGTGGGCATGGGCGTCTCTCCCCCGCATACCCCTGCCTCATTGGGAAGTATAGTAAACATTGTGTGGATGAATGAAATCAGACTCAAAACAATACAACACTATATACAGTATAAATTTAATGTTTGTTTCTAATTTTTCAGCTCGTTTTTATC